ACAAAAAAAAAAAAAATTTCTTTCAACGGAATGAAAAAGAACAACGATATATGATTTTTTTTTACCGCCGAAATCCGCCATTTTGTATTAACGGTTTGACTTTGAAAATTTATTAGAATCGCCATTAATTTCAATTTTTTATTAAAAAATGTGTTTTATCTATTATTTTTAATATTTTAATTAAAAAGAAAGTTCAAAATTACACAAATAAGAGTAAGTAAACAAAATAAATATAAGTTATAAACAATTATTAGTTAAATAAAACATTTAACACATTTTTATTGTTGGTCCTTAAAAAGAGAAAATTACAGAAAGGTATCAAATTTCAAAATATTTATTCAAAAAAATACACGCATCATTTAATTTGATATAAGAAACTAAATCATGTTTTAACAAAAAAAACAATAGAACTCAGATAAAACACTCTTTGTATATTGTTGTGTGTGTGTGTGGCAAAAAAAAATTTTGTTTCAAATAAAACATCACCATAAAAATGGATACCTGAAAAAATTTGTCATAATTAAAAAAACATGATTTTAAATAATGAAACAAAATTATTATTTCATTATTTGTAAATTATATTTACTAAATAAAGAAAAGGTTTTTTGGTTTTCAAGTAAAAATATCATGTTTCAAATTTTAAAGGATTTCAAAGTTGTATGTGTGTATATTAATTATTGGTACCATCATCACATCTAATGTCTAATTATTTCATTTATTTATGATTTCATCATTTACAATTTATTAATTGTTATTAGAATAATAAAGTTTAATTGTTAATAATATAAAATTGACTGAGAGAAAACTTTTGTATATGTTTTAGGTTACAACTTGTGAGTTACCACTCACTCGAAACATTTTATGTTTCAAAGAGTTAACGACAAAATTTTAAGATGGAAGAAGAATTTAAATTAAAAGTATAAAACTGAGTAAGTGTAGTAGTAACTTTTCTTAAACATTATTATGAAATTAACTTGTTATTGATGAAGTTGTGATTTTGATTCATTTTCTCAAAGGTTCAAATGCTCACATTGTCGATTAAGTATTAAACTTTTTTTTATTGTTCGAAAACATTATTAGTTTAAATTTCATTTCATCGAATAACAAAAAAAGTTTAATATGAATATTTATTTATTTATTTATTTGTCATTATTTAATTTATAAACTTTTATTTACACAAATGATTAAAAAAAAAAATGATTTTTTTTATTAATGCTGGAGGTGAATAAGGTTTCATATCTTAAACTCGCATAGTGAAATCATGTTTATTTCAATATTGACCTTGTTTTAATGAAAAAAAAATCTGCTACCTTCTTAACTTACATAAATCTTTTCAATATTTCAAATATATATATATATATTAATAAAAATAGACATGTTAAATAATTATTATTTATTTAAAATGATATTGTTTGGAGAGAAAAAAAAAATTAAATTTGTCTTTATGTCTATCATTAATTATTTTGATTTGACACGTAATTATGAGAATGATGAACAATTTATTTATTTATTTATTATTATAATATAATAATATTAATAAAAGGTTATTGTTCTATATGTACAATCAATAGGTTCTGTATTGTTACTTTTAAGGAATTTTAAAAAATCTACTTTGATAATTATTTATTAACTTTAAAAATTTATTTCAATTTAGTTCGAATGGATATTATATGTTAAAAAAAAAAAATTGAAAGTGAAATTTTTTTTTTTTTTTAAATAATAAATAAATTTCAATAATAAAAACTTGATTTTTATAAATGGGGTAAAAATTAAATAATAAAAAAACAACTTTCAATTTATATAAAAAAAAAAAAAGAAGAGAATTGGGAAGGGGAGGAGGTGGGGGGTAATTGTTGTAGTTTTTAATAAAACTTTGTTGAATAATTTAAGAAAATTAATTTTTTACTTTTTATAAATGTTAAAAAAACGGACGTTTTTGTAATAAAAAAAAAAAAATTGTTAAAAATTATAAATTAATAAAAAAAAAAAAATTAATTAATTAACTTTTCTTTTTTATTTTGCAGGAGGTGTAATTAATAAAGGATAGAAACGAAACGAAAATAAATTTTTTAATTCTTTTTGTTCGTCGACGAGTGACGAAAACGATTTATTTATTTTAAAAATATACATGAAACGAATTTAAAAAAAAAAAAATGTTTTCGACTCCATAACACAAAAAAAAAAAAAAAGAAAACGACAGGAATTTTTTTAAATATGTAAGAAGTTTTGTTTTATTTAAAATGTTTAATTTATTTTTTTTAAAAAAATTATAATTAAATTCGATTATTATACATTATTTTACAGTACGGCAGGCAATCGTTTTGTATCAAACTTCGCCTCGTTTTCTCGAGTCCCCCACTATCACGTTTTGGGCCCCCACTACGAGGCCCCATCGACCGCTATCTTAGGTCTTCAGAAAGCTGATCTTATTCCCCTATTTCTTAAGTGTTGTATCGTATCGCAGTCTTTCCTTACGACTCATTTCGTGAACGTTTCAGTGTTTTGCATTCAATTTATTTGAATTTATTTTTTTCACGTGAGCCAGGTAAGTGATAATAATAATAATAATAATAATACCTCTAATCTTAGAATCAGTAATTATTATTATTTTTTTTTCTTTAAATTTTAATTTCGATTTACAAAGTTGGGGAGAACAAAAATACGTTAAAAAAATTCAAAAAAAAAAAAAAAAGTTTCCCGCTCTTATTTAACCATTTAAATGTTATTTATTATTAGTTATTATTATTTCGCATACATAAAATTATTAAAAATAATTTTTTTAAGGGATCGACGACATTCGTACATTTGAAAAAAATTTTTTTTAATAATTTTACGTAACGAATATTAATAATAATTTACATAAATTTTTTTTATAAGGCACGATTGTTTATTTTAAAAAAAATTTTATTCCGCTAACAAACAACAACAACAAAATTAAACAAAATATTTTCATTACAAAAAAAAAATAAAATAAATCGGTATTCAAATCGCGTTTTAAACAAAAAAAATTAATAATTTATTAATTAATAATAATTATTTAAAATGATTCGAATCAAATTAACAACGGTTATTAATTAACAAAAAAAAATTTTTTTTTTTAAATGATGAGAATTTTAATCGCAATTTTATTTATTTATTTTTTCATGGGTTAATTGCATTCGAACCCCCCCCCCCATCATCCCCCCTCCGATTTCTTACCTCATAATATTCAGTAATTTTTTTAGAAAATGATTTATAGGAAAAACGCGTTGAAAATTCCATTTTTTTTTGTTTTGTCGGTACCATAATTTGTATACTTAATTAACAAACCCCCCCAAAAAAATATTTTTTATTATGTATTATTACCATTTACGATCTCATTCTACTCATTATTATTATTATTATTATTTATTTATTAACTTTTTGGGTGAACGAATTTCTATTTTTTTTTTCACGTTTCCACCGCGAATTTGTGTTAATAATTGAATATTGAACGTTTAATACGAAAATAATAATAATAATAATAATAATATAAACTATTCGAAAAAAACGGGGGGTAGAGAGGAGGGGAGAGAGAGGGAAGAGAAAAACGAATTCGATTTTGAAATCCACGGACTTTATTTTATATTTAGGAAAATTTATTATTATTTTCTCTCTCTCTCTCTCTCTCTCTCTTTCTATTTTATTATTATTATTATTATTATTATTATTATTATTATTATTATTATTATTATTATTATTATTATTTCGCATCTTGCCGCGATGATGACGTCAAAAAAAAACGTTTCACAATCATTCATACGAAGAAATCAAAATGGTGGCGGAGGTGGTGGTGGTGGTGGCTAGTCATCTGTCAGACAAATCATAATTCCGAGAGTGAAATGACGTGATTTGAATTTTATTTTAAACTTAATGTTTAAAACATTGTTCAAATAAGGAAATAATAATAATAATAATAATAATAATAATAATAATAATAATAATAATAATAATAATAATAATAAATGAAAAAAAAAATGGAGTCGTTAACCGGAAAACGAAAACTTGATCCATTTTTATTTATATTTACACTTATGAGTTATTCACATTATTATTATTATTATTATTATTATTATTATTATTATCAACATCTTTGTCACCACCACCACCACCACCACCATCACCAACCATTAAACGTCATCGTCATCATATTATTATTATTATTATTATTATTTAATTCGTTTTGAAAAACGGTCAAGTAGGTGTTAAATAGTTTTTTTCATGACTCATTTAAATTTAATGTTCAAATTCGATATCGAAATTTATTTATAAAAAAAAAAAAAAATTTTCATTAATCTAAAACCACGACAAAATTAATTCGTTTTTTTTTTTTTTTTTATAAGTTTTTGCTAGCGTTAAGATAATGTTTGTCATTAAACATTATTAATTTTTTTTTTTTTTAATAATTTTACATTTCCTAATCGTATCAATTTAGTCCGAATAATAATAATTAATAATAATAATAATAATTTTTTTTATTTACGTTTTGCAAAGTAATTCGGTTCTTATTAAAACAAATAAATAATTACATAAATACGGACGGGTAATAATAATAATAATAATAATAATAATAATAATTTTTTTATCGAAACTCAAAACTCATACACAATTATTATTATTATTATTATTATTTAAACAAGCCTATATTAGAATTGACCCAAATCAATAAATAAATAAATAAATAAAATGAATTTCGAATTTAAAATTTAAAAAAAAAAAATTTTTTTTGTAAAAAAAATCATGTTTACGTTTTTTTTTTTTTTTTTACATTCAGGTTTTTACTTATTTTTTTTTTTTTTTTTTTTTTTTTTATAAACAAACGGTTTGTAATGAAAATAATTATTTAAAAAAAAAAAAAAAAAAACAATTTGCACACACACACACACACACACAGACACGCGCACGCACACACACACACACTAGCCTGTGGCAAACATTAAAACTATTAAAAAGTTGTTTTTATACAATTCGAATAATTAATAATAATAATAATAATATGGGGAACGGTTAAATTTATTTCCCCCCATTGAAACAATTTATTTATTTTTTTTTTTTTTGTAAAATATTAAAAGTGTTAGGTTTGTAAATTGAAAATAATTTTATGCCGCCATTTTGTTTTTTAAAAGGATCGGTTGTTTCTTCGGATAAAAAAATAATTTTTTTTTTTTTTTTTTTGATAATCTTCCTCGGGGTTTTTTCTTTTTCTATTTAAATAATAAATTCGAGATCGAGGTTTTCAGGTTTTAGTTAAAAAATCTTTTTTTTTTTTGCAAATCTAACTAAAGTTAGAAAAAAAATAAATCGTGTCTTTAAAAAAAATTCGTTATAAATTTTTTTTTTTGGTTTTTTCGATCTCGAATTGTGCAATTTGAAAAATTACCCACAAATTAAACAATTTTATGGCACAACACACATAAACTTATCAAACAAAAAAAAAAAAAAATTTTTTTTTTTTTTTTTTTTTTTTGGCAAACGGTATCGATTTTCTTGTTGAAGTAAAAAAAAAAAAAAAAAAAAAAAAAATGAAACTCCTACAATTTTTCAATCGTCATTTTTTTTTTTTTTTTTTTTTTTTTTTTTTTTTTGTTCAATCGATTGTGATTAATCAATTTTCATTTAAACATTCTGTTAACACCATTTCCGCCGCATTAAATAACTTCTTAAGAATTTTTTTTTTTTTTTAAAATGAATCTGTTAATTTATTTTCATTTATTGTAATTTTCCCCATACGCACACGCGCACACATACACGC